CCTCAGCCTTCCGAGTAGCCAGAATTACAGGCATGCGCTACCACGCCCGGCTGATTTTTTTATTTATTTTAGAGATGAGGTCTTGCTGCCCAGGCGGGTCTCGAACCCGCGGGCTCAGGCAATCCACTCACCTCAGCCTCCCAAAGGCGCGGGATTACAGGCTGAGCCACCGAGCCTGGCTTGTTTTTTTGTTTTTGTTTGAGTTAAGTCTCACTCTGTCATCCAGGCTGGAGTGCAGTGGCTCGCATACTCACGGCCACCCCAGCATCGACCTGCTGGGCTCAGGCGATCCTTCTGCCTCAGCCTTTCAAGTAGCCGGAATTACAAGCACACGCTACTATGCCTGGCTAATATTTTAAAAATTTATTGTAGAGATGAGGTCTCACCAAGTTGCCCAGGCTGTTCTCGAACCCGTGGGCTCCAAAAGTGCTGGGATTGCAGGCTGAACCACTGAGCCTGACCTGAGAATCTGTTTAACAGGACTTGAAGGGGCCGCGCTTGGCTGACAGGGCCCCAACTAGAAGCCCAGTCTTGTTTTGGAGCAAGGAATGCTGCTCCGGCCGCATTGTGTGTCTTCAGGAAGCTGTGTCTACTCGAATATTCCTCAGCTAACCCTAACCCTTAACTTTTATGAGAAACTCTTGAGGGTAGCACAGCCCAGGGGCTGTGTGGTCATCCGCCTTAATCCTACGGCAGCATCCACATGCTCTTGGAAGGCTTGTTCTTGATGTTAAATCAGCATTGCTATGGGACGGGTCCTGTGTGTGGTCAAGCTTGGTGGCCTTGCAGTTGCTGGTGTCCTAGCCCTGCCCCTATCCCTGAATCCATAGCCCTCAGTTGTTCAGTCCCTGGCCCTCATGGGATGTTAGGAGGCAGCAACAAGAGGTTGGGTTCCAGGAGCTTGAGAAGGAATTCTCATGGCCTACAGGGGCCTCTCGAGGAGGATGCTTCGTCTGGACACCTCTGGGCTGTGGATCCTCAGGGGTGGGGGCATGACGAGGGAAGGCAAACATTTAGAAAAAGAAAAGAAGTTCTCCAACCCCACCCCACCCCCCATATGTGTCAGGCGCACACACACCAAGTCTCGGAGTTTTCTCCAGGGCTATCTGAGGCCGGAAGAACCCCATTGAATGCTTTTACCTGCAGAGGAGGACGTGGAAGAAGCGTCCCTCATTTAAAATGTGAGAAGTGACTGGGCATGATGGTACATACCTGTAGTCCCAGCTGCCTGGGAGGCTGAGGTGGAAAGATCACTTGAGGCCAGGGTTTTGAGCCAGCATGGCCAACATAGTAAGACCCTGTCTCTACAAAAATAAAATGTGGGAAGCCATGGGAAAAACTAACCAGGACCAACACACACACACACACACACGGAAGAGTGGCACTGATTGACGTCTCAGAGATGATTTCCTACAGAGCAGGGTCCTGCCCCCTCTACTACCACACTGAATGCCTCTGAATTTTAAAAAAAAAGTCACTGTTTTGACTGATGCGTGTGTCACAGCCATGAGCACCTTGGGTGGTAGCATGATGAGAGGAAAGCACAAAATGGTGGCGGCACGTCTGCACAGAGTGGGAAGGGGCCCGGCGTCGGCAGTCAGCGTGTGCCCGAGCCCCCAGCCTCCGCAGCCCCTCCGTGTCCCGTGTCAGCCTGTGCTGAACTTGACCTGAACGCTGTGCTCTCTGTTTGCCAGGTTCTCCCCTATGGGTGTAGATCACATGAGTGGGCTTTCTGGTGTCAATGTCCCCGGAAACGCTTCTTCGGGCTGGTGCATCTTCATCTACAACCTGGGCCAAGACGCCGACGAGGGCATCCTCTGGCAGATGTTTGGGCCCTTTGGCGCCGTCACCAATGTGAAAGTGATCCGCGACTTCAACACCAACAAGTGCAAAGGGTTTGGCTTTGTGACCATGACAAACTATGAAGAAGCTGCGATGGCCATAGCCAGCCTGAACGGCTACCGCCTGGGGGACAAGATCTTACAGGTTTCCTTCAAAACCAACAAGTCCCACAAATAACTCGCTCATGCTGTTTTTGTACGGAATAGATAATTAAGAGTGAAGAAGTTGAAACTTTTTTTGTTAGTGTACAACTCATTTTGCGCCAATTTTCACAAGTGTTTGTCTTAGTCTGAATGAGAAGTGAGAAGGTTTTTATACTCTGGGATGCAACCAACATGTTCAAATGTTTGAAATCCCACAATGTTAGACCAATTTTAAGTTTCGTAAGTTATTTCCTTTAAGATATATATTAAACAGAAACCTAAGTAGACTGCATTGACTAACCAGTCCCTCTGGATGGTGGTGAACTGAAGCATGCTTTCACTTCTAAGACTGTCTAACACTCGTTCATTCGATGTTTCCACAAATGGGATAAAAACAAATGATCTTTTAGTTTTAGTTTTTAACCTAAAGATGTTAGACAGATGCTGAGTGTGCGTTTTCTCAACCGCTTCAACATTTTAAGCAATTTATGCTTTGGTTGACAGGAAGTTGCTTTCCCAAGCAGGTCTCATTGCCACCTCCTGCTCACTCAGTCCTGGGCTCTGCTGAGGGGTCCTGGGAGTGGCAGCAGGCCCGCCCAGCGTGGGCCACCACTGGGGCAACGGGCCGCATGCTGGGCCGGGCCCTCCAGAGAAGGACACATACGTGTTTTGTAAGCCCAGGCACCTATGGGAACGGACCAAAGAGTTTCAGGGAAACTCCAGTATATTCCAGAGTCAGATCTAAGCTCCAGGCTTGCCTGAAGATGTGTTTGCTACTCTGACACCCCGAATTTCTGTCCACACATTGCATGCATGGTGCCCACACATCGGATACTGTTGTTCACAATAATTTCTCCAGTTTCCAAGAGCATTTAACATAGCTTGAAGGCGTCAGAGAGCTCTATTTTTTAATAACACAGAAACATTTGAGCATTGTATTTCTCGCATCCCTTCTTGTGAGCGCTAGACTTTTCTATTTTAGTCAGATTTTGTTTTGGAATTTTGCTTTCGTATGAACACTCAGCAAACAAGTACTTACTTCTTGCCAGTTATCTATTAACAGAAACCTTTGATTTGTAGTTTTAAAGATTAACCCTCAAAGTTCTCTTCATAACTGCCTTGACATTTTGGGTTGTTCTGTTCTGTTAATTTTCTTTTGCTTTTTTGTGTTTTTTGTTTGTTTTTACTTTTGCATTTAAGACCATTAAATTTGATTTTGTTTTGCTCGAATTTTGTTTTGTTTTTTATTTTGCCTTTTCTTTCTTTTTGGCTAGGGAAGGTACAGATGGCCCAGCATTCCAAGAGAATTCATAAGATCTTAAGAAACAAATACTTGCCTGGAAACACCATTTCTGAGTCTGTGATGTAAGAATGGGCAGTCATGGGTTGGTGGCTTTTCAAGCAGGAGCCGGTAGGAGAGTCTGACAGAGGCCTGTGGTGTAGGCAGGGCCACATCTCCCAAAACGCTTCAGGACTGTGATCTGATCTTTATAAATAACTAGTAATTCAGAGAGAGTCAAAAACAGGATAACTTAGTACCAACAGTTTTTACCCTTGACCTGAGATGAAAACGTGACGATAGGCTGTTTTGTAGTTTTTGATATCATGGAATGGCAGCTTTATTTATCTATTTATTTATCTATCTATTTATTTATTTATTGACGTGGTCACTTGGGCAAGCAGCATTGCCAGTGTCTCGAGAAGCCCTTGGGTGATTTGAGGCTGCCTGTCCCGCCCCCTTTCCTGACCCTTCACTGAGGGGCTGTCTGTGTCATCCTCACACATGGAAGATGCGGCCATCTGTACCCAATCCCTGTCTCAGAAGGGTCGGCCAGGCGCCACAGGAGTCTCCTTCCTCCAGCAGAATTCAAGACCCTCCATAAAAGCCGGAACTGAGACCTGTGGCCTAGATTCCACACAAAAGAGGGTCCCTGCTCTATCATGCCAGAGCATGCTGCACCTTGGACCAGAATGTTTTCCCAGAAAAATAAGCCTTTCAGTTTCCCCAGGCCACCATCTTCTGAGTGAAGGCGGGCACCCCAACTCCAAAACATCCCCTAAGTCTCACGTGCACACCTTCCTGCCAGCCTTAGCTAGTGTTCCACAGAGAACTCTGTCTTATGGACTGTGAAAGCAAGGACAGGCTTGTGGCCAGCACCGCAGCTGCTTCCTCCCCTCCTTCTCTTAGAACCCTCTAGATGATTCTGATGTGGGGCAGAAGAGAAGGAAATGTGAAGTGTATAAACCTCTGAAAGTGACCAGGGAAGTTTCTCAGTTCTGTAGAACTCTCCTTTGACGTGGTCTCCACTGTTTGAACAGCCTTCTTCCTAGAAATTCCAAGGCATTTCCTTGGGAGTCTTAATTTACGAGAATTTAGGAGTGCGCTTTTAAGATGTCTTTCCTGAAAAGCAATCTTCACTCCTGTCCGGGTACTAGTTGCCGGCCCTGTGCTCTCAAAGTTCATTACTTGTTTGCAAAAGGAGGATTTTTTTTTAAATTAAAAAGGCACAACCCAAAAGAAACCATTTCTTAAACATTTTTACATAGAGTAATTGCATTTGTGTTTAGCAAAATGAGCTCTCCTTTTATTTGGGAACTTTGGTGAAAAAGCATTGAGTAGTTAATGTTCGTTTATCAACAGTTTGATTTGGTAAATACCAAAGAGACTTTGAATTCTCTTTTGAACCTATGTCACCCCTCTGGTAGTTACACCCTAACCAGCTCCAAGTTTGTGAACCTGCTTCTAAATGAATTACCTGTCTCCCCCTTGGCTCTGCCCTTATTTCCTTGCTGGTGTCATATGCCAAGCCAGGGTTTTCCGTGCTGGCTGTGCCTCTGGTCGCGGTTCTGTGACTGCGATTCCCTCCCGGGGCACCACATCCCCTCCACGGCCACCATCGTGCATGATATCTGAAAGCCGGGCTTCCTGGGGCCCATCTGCAGATGGTGCCGGGTGGGTTCTGCCTTCCCCTCCTGGAAGGTGAGTCTTTCCCTTGCCAAGGACAGCTGCCTTAACCTTTGAGAGTCTGCACTTGGCGTCAGCAGTGGGAACCCGGCATCCAGAGACTGAATCATGCTGTTGGAGGATCCAAGGCCGGCACCTCGGACTGGCAGCCCAGAGGTCCCTGCTGGATCAGAGAACTAGACGCCCCTGAAGACCCTTGGTGGCAATCGCTTAGCCGGGCTTGCCTCCAAATGAGGGCCGTTTTGTCTATGAGGTGTGGAAAAGACACGACTTACCCCAGTCCTCATCAGACTTGAAAAAAGTGAAATTGACATCACTTACTCGCTCTGTTTCACATCAGATTCAACCTGATTTTATTTCCACGTGTTTTTTGCAGCTTACTGTGTTGGATGCAAGAAATTAAGAATAAGCTGACAAAGGGCCTGCACTCTCGTTCCACCCTCTTCCTCCACCTCCATCCCTTCTAGTCTTCCCAGGACCTACCTCACCTGCGGGGACCTGAGGCAGCTCCTTGGGAGAGACCCCCAGGGCTCATCGGATTCCCCGGGTCCTGTCCCCAGACTTGCTGAGACAGCCCTGAAGTCACAAGTGCTTTCCGTTGAGTGGCATTGATAATTGGCACGTTCTTAATAGTAGCCGCAGAATCAGAATCTTGGATCCCAGAGCGGGTTCACGTTATTTCCAAATCTTTCGATTTTTCCCTGACCTTTAATGATTGTATCATATTGCCCCAGAACCTTTCGGTGACGTAGTTCAGCTTTTTTCTTGGTCACTTAAAAAAAAATTTTTTTTTTAAACTTGGAAGTCACCGCAGGTAGCTACATGAGGTTAACGGAGACTTTGAGAGGACTGACTTTTTCTTCCACCAGAAGAGAAGGCTTTTCCGTTGGTTGGGGCCACCTCTTTTGCCATGTGATGTTCTGTTTACAGTGACTTGCTTTGGGGGAGGGGGAGTTTATCAACTGATGCCCGTGATGTACAGTAGCCGGTTAGACATTTTGTATATTAGTGTATTTTAAGTTATTGATTTGTTTTATATAAAATAATTTATTTTTCAGGTGCCATTTTTCATTTTAACTTTGTTTTTACATGGGTTTGTTTTCAATAAAGTCTGACACTGCTGTCCAAAAGTCAACAATAAAATGAATCCCATTGTGTTCTTTGGAAGATGCTTATGTAACTAGCTTTTAAAATTATTTTCAGGGAAAAAAAAAGCCCTTCTTAGCTTCCCATTGCTTTATTTTTTTTTTAAATCCTTGTGAATAAATGTTCTTTAGTGTTTTAGGAGGAAAAAGCAAACCTAGATTTTGATAATCCAGAAGATTTCAGATTAATAAAGAAGCTTTGAAAGAGGACCATTTTTCAAAATTTTAGTGAAGTGTGAATATTTTTTGTCAATGGCTTTCTCAAAGAGAATGAAACTTTTGCACCATTTTCAGAGTTTTTATAGAGATGCCAAATTGATATATTTACATGTAATGGAAACATGAAAAAGTTTTATTAAACAATTGTTCATAGCTGTGTAGACATTTTAATTCAGTTTCCAAAGCTCTCAAAAGCGTATTTTTGGAGTATGGAGTGCTATGGTTTGGGGTGTTACTAAATGATTCCAAACAACTCAATTGTCCGGATACTCAGTTCTTCCCGCAGGTATAAGGTTTGTGTTCAACGCTGTATGTGAACTATGACTGGAATTCTGTGCTATTTTGGTAATAAATGAAGTGGGATCATTGAGATGTGACGGTGTAGGGTGATCGTGTGTGACTTGTGAGCAGCCGGCAGCTGAGCAGCGCTCCTAGGGACTTCTTCCTTCCTAGGTAAGCCTGGGCCAGGCTTTGACCCCTGGTGAGAAAGGCGGAGCCTGTGGACAGCCCCACCCGTGAGGCCACGCCCAACTGGGGGTACACTCTGTGACGAGCTCTCCCAGCCCTTCTGCTCCCGCCATCTGAGACTCAGGCCAGCCCTTCCCCAGCGATGGTCCAGGGATCCCGCCTCTTCCCTCTCCTGTTGTTGAACCCTGGTATGATCTCATCCTGAGTGTCTTCTGGGACTGGTCTCCTTTGTAGGTTGGAAACAGGCTCATTCCCTGGAGGTGGAGGCGGCCAGCCTGGTGGTTGGGAATGCAAGTGTCTCCAGGTTAGAGAGTGGGGTTGGAATCCGGCTCTGCCACCACTCCCATGTGTGCAACACAGGCAAGCTACCTTCTCTGTGAGTCTCAGTTTTTCCCTCTATGAAATGGGTCCATGATTTATACATCCCCTACACACACACACACACACACATACACACACACACACACACACACACACACACACACACACACACTATCTACATGAAAATGAGATCAAGTAGGCACCCCATTTCAATACTGGAGTCAAGAAGTATCCAGGGAGTGGGTAGGGTTAGCATAGAGTGTCAGCACCCCGCGGGCTCAGTCAGCACCCAAGATGTACCTCTGGGTCCTTGTTTCCAAGAGGCTGGTTTCTCTTTCTTCTGCGTGTGTGTCTTGTGGTTCCCTGTTCATCTCCTCCTCCAGATGTGGCTAAAAGGCTCCTTGGCTTCCAGGGAGACCTCAGGATGGCCAGCAGCCACCTGGGGACGAAGGGTTGCGCCCCAGCTGGGGGTCGCTCCAGAGGCATCCCTCGGGTGCTCGGGCCCCAGGAGTCGCCCCGGGGGGCTCCCAGGGCCTCAGGCAGCTCCAGGCTAGTGGATCCCTGACCTCCCACCTTGTGAACCCAGGGAAAGGCCTGGGGTGGGGTTGGGCAGACCTGGTGTCCCCTACTCCGGAGAGCAGGGGAGGGCATCTGCGGGGCATGGCTTGCTGATACTAACATCTTGTTTTATCAAGTACGTTACTGCACATCTGTCGACACATTGGTCTGTGAAGAAGATATTACTGTTGTGGTTGTGCCCGTTTCACAGAAGGCAGACTGAAGCTTGGAGGGTGGGTCAAAAACGTGCCATGCCAGCAATACTTTTTTGTGTGTGTGTTAGTTTGGCATAGAACACCCTGGGTGTGGGCTGCCTCTTAGTTTTGCGCCTCTGAAACTATCCATTTTGGGGTTCAGTAAGGGATGGAAAGTTAGGGGTGCAGAAGAGGCTAGGTACAGCCTGTGTGGATCCACAGGGGCCCGTGGTCACACGCCAGGGGGCCTGGCCCCATCCCACCTTCTCCAAGGGTCCTGCAGCCACCCCAGCGTGCATAAGGACATCTCCCCTCCTGGCCTCCCAGGGGAAGCAGGTGACTGGTTCCTTTCCTCCCAAGTGTCCTCTGAGCTGCTCAGCTACCTGCCACCACAACTAGGGCTTCCTGTTCAGAGAAGACTAGGGATTTCTTTTTCTTTTTTTTTTTGAGTCAGGGTCTCACTCTGTCACCTAGGCTGGAGTGCTCATGGAGTGGCATGCTCACGGCCCCTGCAGCCTCAACCTTCTGGGCTCAGGCAATCCTTCCACCTCAACCTTCCAAGTAGCTGGAACTATAGGCACATGCCACCACACCTGGCTAATTTTTTTATTTTTGAAGAGATGAGGTCTTGCCAAGTTGTCCAGGCTGGTCTTGAACTCACGGACTCAGGCAATCCTCTCTCCTCCGCCTCCCAAAGTGCTGGGATTACAGGTGTGAGCCACCACGCCTGTTCTAGGACTAGGGATTTCAAGACCATGACAGCAGAACAAGCTTGGGCCCTCTCCGACCCAGGTCCAGTGTGGCCTGCAGGATGCCAACTCACCCACCCCCCTCCCCCATGCTTTCTCAGCCCCCCTTCCTACTGTCCTTCCCCAGGGCTCCTCCTGGCAACTTGTTGGGGAATTCTCTCCCGAACACCTGATACTATCGCATCTCTGTTCAATTTTTTTTTTTTTTAATCGGAGTCTCACTCTGGCCCTCAGGCTGGAGTGCAGTGGCACGCTCACGGCCACCACAGCATCGACCTGCTAGGCTCAGGCAATCCTTCCATCTCAGCCTTCGAAGTAGGTGGAACGACAAGCATGTGCCACCGCACCCAGCTAATTTTTTGATTTATTGTAGAGAAGAGGTCTCGCCAAGTTGCCTGGGGTAGTCTTGATCCCTTGGGCTCAGACAACTCGCCTCAGCCTCCCAAAGTGCTAGGATGACAGGCGTGAGCCACTGCGCCCAGTCAGTTTTTGTTTCTGTTTTTGTTTGTAGAGACAAGGTCTTACTATGTTGTCTAGGCTGGTCTTAAACTCCTGTGCTCAAGCAATCTTCTTGCCTTGGCTGCCTAAAGTGCTGGGATTATGACTCAAAGAAAAACAAAATTGCAAACCTTAAATCTGCTTAAATTTTAAAATGTTTTTTTAATGTAGTAAAATACATATAAAATTTTGCTATACACACACACACACACACCCACACACACACACACACACGTTTTTGTTTTTGTTTTTGTTTTTTGAGTTGGAGTATCACTCGGTCGCCCATACTGGAGTGCAGTGGCCACTCCCTGCCACCGCAGCCTCGCCTGCTGGGCTCCGGCAATCCTTCCGCCCCAACCTTCCGAGTAGCCGGAATTACAGGCATGTGCTACCACGTCCAGCTGATTTTTTGATTTATTATAGAGATGAGGTCTTGCTGCCCAGAGGGGTCTCGAACCCGCGGGCTCAGGCAATCCACTCACCTCAGCCTCCCAAAGGTGTGGGATTACAGGCTGAGCCACCAAGCCTGGCTTTTTTTTTTTTTAAATCAGGGTCTCACTCTGTTGCCCAGGCTGGAGTGCAGTGGCATAATCACGGCTCACCACAGCTCAACATCCTGGGCTCAAGCAATCCTCTTGCCTCAGCCTTCTAAATTGCTGAGATTACCAGCCTGAACCACCATGCCCGGCCTTTATTTATGTATTTATTTATTTAAAATGTACTTACTTATATTTGAGACAGGGTCTCACTCGGTCACCCAGCCTGGAGTGGTGACGTATCATAGTGGTGCAATTATCACTCACTATAACCTTGAATTACTGGACTTACATGATCCTCCCACCTCAGCTTCCCAAGTAGCTGGGACTACAGGCATGCAATACCATACCTGGCTAATTAAAAAAAATTTTTTTTCTATAGATAGGGTCTCACTATGTTGCCCGGGCTGGTGTCAAACTCCAGGCCTCCAGCAATCCTTCCACCTCAGCCTCCCAAAGCACTGGGATTACAGGCCCGAGCCACTGTGCCCAGGCTGTTCAAGTGTTTTCAGGTTGTCTTTGGGCTTCTTGTGGGCCATGGAATTTCAGAATCTGTCTTTCACCTGTATTCCAAGGACTACATTCTGTCTGATTTTCTCACATTGATGGATTTTGAGGCAGGGCCCTATGAGTAAGTGGAGGAGGAGAAGGAGGAGGGTGACAGGATGACACAGTAGCTGGCCGAGGGCTCATGGAGGGAGGCCTGAGTTGGGAGGCGAAATGGCAGCTCGGAGAGCCACTGCGTGGAGGGAGGGGGAAGGACCAGGCCTGTCAAGGTTCCCTTTCAGTTGAAGGGTCCCAGGACCAAGGGTGGAGTGAAGGTGAACATGGGAAGGGGGAGTTGACAAAAGGAGCAGTTGGTGGGACAGGCCCAAGTGCCCGTTTCTGTCTGGTCAGGGCTCATGGGGAGCGTGGCCTATGAGTCACCAGCAGAAGCCACATCCCTGACCCAAGCCTCATGGCCAGACACTGGAGGTATTGAAGAGCCCGGGAGGGTGAGGCCCTGACTATATCCTATGAGGGGCTGGAGCCTCTCAGGGTAAATACCAGGACCACTAAGGGCCAAGGGATTCCAGGAAAGTCTGGAACCCCAGAGGGGGGACATGATGTCTCTACCAAAGCTGGGTGTGTGTGTGTTTCATGGTACTAAGAAATTCTCACAGAGGCCCCTGGAGCAAGCCAGAGTACTGCCTCCGGGCCCAGAAACCTAAGCCCCCAGGCTGAGCACACTCGAGACCCTGCACACATAGCCAGGCTCAGTGGCATGCACCTGTAGATCCTAGCTGTTTGAGAGGCTGAGGTAGGAGGACCGTTTGAGCCCAGGAGTTAGAGGCTACAGTGAGCTATGATCTCAACACAGCACTCCAGCCTGGGCGAGAGAGCAAGAACCCTGTCTTTAAAAATAAAAGGACTCCCACATAGACAGCAATTTTAAAAAAATGAGCCTCAAGCAAATATCTCAATGTTCTGGAAGCAGGTGTAGATGTACACATGGGCCTTCCCAGGGACAGCTGCAGGCATCGTTTTCTTGAAGGTTCACGAGTTCCCTACAGGCCCAAAGAGGTAGTGGAGGTCCCAGGGCCAAGGTCAGGCCTGAGTGAAGGAGGCTTGGCGCCCGTGTTGGTCTGATGCTGTGCCTTGCCTTACTGGGAGAGACTGTACCTGTTTTCTCGTTTCCTCAGCTGGAATTCCACCTCTGTGGGTCGCCGTCTCTCACTGGGTGCCTGGACTGAACTGGGGCCGGGTTGGGGGCAAAACCGTTAAGACGGTTTTTACAGGGCATAGGGCGGTGTGTGTGCTCTGATGAAGGGTCAAGGTGACCACAGTACGGTGTGTCAAGGCGAGACAGAAAGGGAATAAGAGAATCTTAGAAAGACATACAAGAGGTCAAGATGGGCCAGGTGCAGTGGCTTATAGCAGCACTTTGGGAGTCCGAGGTGGGAGGATTGCTTGAGCACAGGAGTTTGAGACCAGCCTGAGCAAATAGTGGGACCTTGTCTCTACAAAAAATAAAAGCATTAGCTGGGTGTGGTGGCACATGCCTGT